CTTTCCTTAGAAAATAAAAAAAAAAGTAGTTTTTAAAAGAAAAAGGTTTCCTTCCTTCTAATGTTGTTCATGCGGAAAAAGAAAAATCAATAAAAATCAAAATCCAAAATACGGGTTTCCTTCATTTTGAGGTATTTTTCCCAAATATTCAAAAAAAAAAATCAGAAACAAAAATTCAAAAAATACTTTTTAGATGTCTTTCATTTGTAAATGTCTTAAAAATTTTGAAAAATTGAAGTCCAAAAATATTTTCGCTTTTCTTTAGAAGTGCTATTGTAAATAAATAAAAACTCATAAATTCAAAACATTTTCTTAAAAGTCCCTCTTTCGAAAATTAAAAGGCAACTTTCAAGATCCAAAAATATTTTCTTTCTTCTTTAGAAAAAGATAAAACAAATGAAAATTCCAAAAAAAAAAATCTTTTTTCCTTTTGAAATTCCTAAAATTCAAATCAAAATAAAAGGAATTTTAGATGTCTTTCTTTCAAAAAAAAATCGAAATCAAAAATCCAAAAAAAAAATATTTCCTTTCTTCTTTTAAAGTATTTCTTTCGAAAATTTCAAAAAAAAAAAAATATCAAAAATATGTTTTTCCGTTTCTTATAGCTTTCATAGTGTGAGTTTTATAAAAAAAAAAAAAAAAAAAAAAAAAAAAAGAGAGTTAGTTTATTTACTCTATTCTCAATCTTCCCGAACTACGCGAGATCTGATTCATGCTGCGTCATGATACGTAGGCAATCCCCATCGGATTCGATCATAGCTATAAAATAAACTGAGAGAAAAATAATCTGAAAAAAAAAGAAAAAAAATTGAGTTAAAAAAGAAAGAAAAAGTGAAAAAAGAGACTGACGAAAAAAAAAAAAGAACAGAGAAAAAAAAGAAGGCCAAAAATAAAAGAGCGGCAGAAACAAAATGAAAAAAAGATCAAGAGTGATTAAAGAGAGAGAAAAAAAGAGGTACATACTGAGAGAGTTAGTTAAGGTCGGGATGAAACATGCAACCGTTCAAACACATGGTAGAAACGTTTAACTGTTTAGGTGCATTGCATCCAAACGTGCGATTTCCTATCTGTTAAGCGTCTCAAAACTAACAAGGTTGTTGCGTGTGCAAAATAGCCAGGTTTTGGTGGTTGGTTTTGTTGGTAGTCTAGCCTCCCCTCCTTCACAAGATCCAAAGGCACAGATGCCCTCCGCAAGCAATCTACCAGTCATCGGTCCTGAGGATAGCCCGACATCGGCTATTCTGCAGCTAGAATCAGCAGCTGCTGAAGAGAATAAGATGTTGCGTCTCCACATATTGTAAATGTGGGACGCCTGGTCTAATGGTAGGGAACCGCCAAATGCAATCCCTGGGTTCCCTGAGTTGATCCCCAGGTCGGGTGAGGTTACCAACGCCCCTGTGCCCAACCCGTTCATCCTATGCGGGCACCCTCCAATGCCCTCTAATGATCCTGGCATGCCTTCTGTGGTTCGCCCCCAGGCACCGGCTTCAAGGGAACCGCCTCCAATGTTCATCTTTCAGGTTCCACAACTTCAACCAGAAATAACATATGTGACCCCGTACTCTTTAACTCAACCTCCGCAATATGATCTCTCAGTGGAGCAAGAAAAGGTTGTTAAAAATCCCGAGCAAGAGGAAATGGCTCGGAAGATGAAGAGCCTGGAACAAAGCCTGAAAAACATGCAAGGTCTGAGTGGCCAAAAGAGTGTCTCATACTCCGACCTCTGTATGTTTCCCCATGTCCACTTGCCTGTTGGCTTCAAGATGCCGAAATTTGAAAAGTACGACGGGCACGGAGACTCGGTCGCTCATCTGAAACGATACTGTAACCAGTTGAGGGGTGCTGGTGGAAAAGAGGAGCTGCTAATGGCCTATTTTGGGGAAAGCCTCACCGGAATCGCTTCTGAGTGGTATACGGATCGAGAAATTACCCATTGGCACGTGTGGGACGATATGGCCCTAGATTTTGTTCGCCAGTTCCAGTATAATGTGGACATCGCTCCCGACAGAAACTATTTGTCCAATTTGAAAAAGAAAACCGCGGAAAGCTTCCGCGAATATGCCGTCAAATGACGTGAGCAAGCTGCAAGGGTAAAGCCTCCAATGGACGAAATTGAAATGGTCACGGTCTTTCTGCAGGCCCAAGAGGCTGACTACTTCCAGAACATGATGTCTGTTGTGGGTAAGCGGTTCGCTGAGGCTATCAAAATTAGGGAAATGGTTGAAAACGGTTTAAAAACAGGTCGAATCTTGAGTCATGCTGCTTTTAAGGCCACATCACAGTCCGCTCAGAATGGTTCGGAGGGTTTGATGAACAGAAATGGGAGTGAAGAGGGAGCCATGATGCTTTCAAGCTCGAGGGGGGCCCGCAGGTCATTCAGCCAATCATATGTGCCTCCTATCATCCCACGACACTATTATCCCCTTCAAGATGCTGCTTATGCCGTGGCACCGCCTCCCTATGCGGTGATGAATGCGCAACCTTACCCGCGGCCATAACATTATATACAAAACCGAGCTCCACCTCCCAGAAATGCCCATCCTTACCAAGCTCCATATAATCCTCAACCAAATGATCCCCAATACAATCCTCGCCCAAGAGAGCCTTTCAGGTGAAGCATATTCGAGCTTGTTCCAAAAGCTAATCAGGCTAAATCTATTGCAACCAGTGGCCCCGAACCGGCCAAACCCCGAGTCCCCCTCGCACCGGGCTGATGCTAGATGTGAATACCATTCTAGAGCAGTGGGACACAGTACAGAGGACTGTTGGACCCTCAAAAGGGCAGTTGAAGATTTGATTGAAGCTGAAAGAATTGTTTTTCGGGATGAATAAGCTCCTGATGTGATGAACAATCTGTTGCCTGCCCACAACATTGGGCCAATAGTCGGAATGATTTGTGAAGATGAGGAATTATATCCGGCACTGAAGGCCATTGCAGCCATTGCCGAGACAGAAGAAAAGCCAAAAAAAATGGTCGTCAAGCCTGAAAGTTCCCCATCAGACGGGAGTCTCGGTAGCCAGTCTTGCTATCCTTTCTGCACCCGGATTATCTCAGGGTGTGATCCGAATGTTTTACTTTATTGTCTTAATTTTCGATGTAAACCCTTCTATCTTCAAAAATCAAAAAAAAATCAATCAAAAAAAAATCAAATGAAATTAATATTTCATTGTCCATAAATGTCTCTTTTCCTAATCTTGTCACTTTTCTTATTCTCTTTTTAGTTCTGTTAAATGCAGATTTCAATAACATGACATGCTTGCGGACTTCATGCCTTGATCCCAAAACGCTGTCAGACTTCGAAATAATGAATCAAGAGTCAAAAGGCAAAGAACATAAGTTTGAGGAAATAAAACAAAGAGTTGGAACAGTTGAAGGAAAATTGGCTCCAATTTGGAAAGGTCCATACATTGCAACAAGAGTACTGCCAAAAGAGTGCATTGTACTTGGGACACATCGAAGGAAATGTCCCTGAAACAACTATCAACGCAAATGCAGCCAAAAGGTACTACGTTGGATCTTCTATATAACATAAATGTTCTCCAGTTGGGATGAAGATGGCTTTTATTCTCGCTACCCAAACACTATCAACCCCTTGCAAACCCTTTGAGCCAGTTACTTTTCTTTGATTACCCTTTTTGGAACCTGAAAGTGTTATTGAAAAATAAAGATTGAAAAAATGAAATGAAGAATGAAAAAAAAAAAGAGAAAAAAAAGAAAGAAAAGAAAGATACAAAAAGAAAAAAAAGGTGGAAGAAGAGACAAAAAGAAAATGAAATGAAAAATGAAAAAAAGGAAAGGAAAAAGAAAGAAAAAACAAAACAAAACAGAAAAACAAAGGAAAGTCGAAAATAAAATCTTCCTGAGCTACGTTCGACTTGATTCCGAAAGGATACGTAGGCAACCTCTCTGGGGTTCAGTCACACCAAAACAAAAATCCAAAGTCCCCCAAAAGTGAAACTGGGGCAGAAGTTATAATAGTTCGACAATGATCCCGCCTGAAAGGTCCCAAAGTTGTAACTCAATCCAAATCCTTTTTACCCAAACTCTGTTCAAGTCCTTCTGATCAATCGGCAAAGAGGTTCAAAATAGGAGGATAGAGTAACTTGGATCTGATACAACAAAATGAGAGAAATAAAATGAGAGAGTCTTATTGGTGAAAACCCACACGGGCACCGTGAGGCGACAGTAAGCAAAGAAATCAAAATGAGAGAGTCTTGTTAGTGAAAACTCGCAAAGAGCACTATAATGCGATGGTGAGTAGAGAAATGAGAGAGCTCAGCTCGTGAAAACCCACGAAGGGCACCCCTGATCGAACAGAGGATCCTCACAGCCATCAGCACCGACAGAGTCCTGTCAAGGTTTCTTGATTTTGAGGCAAAGGTTGTGATGAATTTTTGAGAGTCGGACGGTTTACACAGATTAGGCATCCAGTCCAAAAGGCATGTCATGTTCATTGAAGTCCGCATGTACTCCAGATACACTACAACAAATTTGATTATTAGTGATGAATTATCAAAAGGCCTTTGGTGACAAAAAAAATTTTATCAATCTATCATCCTTAAAACACCGTCACTAATAGTATACAAAGACAACTTTGTGTTTCGTCACTAAATAAAGTTATATTAACTACGAAATCGTTTTTTGTCCCTAAATTAATAGAATTTATGACGAACTTGTTCGTCAAAAAAGGTATAAAAAAAATTGTAGTTGATAGTGCATTTTCGTCACTGAAAAGGTCATTAATACCGACAAAACTGCTTTGTCACTAACTATTTAGTTTAATTAGCAACGACATAAATTGTCTATAAAATTATATATATTTCGCAGTTGAACAATTGCAATATCGTCACTAAAGAATGCCTTTTATATACAAAAAATACTTTGTCCCTAATTGTATAAATTAGTGACAACTCTGCTTTTATAAACAAGGTTTACAACTACGTAGTTAAATTATAATTTCGTCACTAAAAATATTAATTTTACTGACAAAACAAAAACGTTACTACAAAATCATCATGATTATTGACAATTACAATTGTCCAAAATACAAAGATAATTCATTGTCAAAGAAAATATTATATTATTGATAAGGAAATTCTAGGCAAAGTCTATTTTTTGTCACATTTATGATGAACTAATGTCCTACAATAAAAATATGATTGTCTAAAATAGTGCAACATAATCAAATCACTGTTGCATCGATCTCCTTTCTTGTGAGTTCTTTCCACTTGTTTTGGAAGCGAAAGAAAATTTCCCGACTCATTTGATAGATACTGCTGATGGAATTGCTTTGATTGACCTCCATTTACCAACTAGGATCTCTACATCATCTTTTCTCCCAAAGATTTCTCAATTTCTCAATACCTTTATTCAAGCTTGTCCACAACCTTCCTTGATTCCAGGTGAATCTGCACCTATTTATATAAAAAAGTCAATTCAAAATACTATTTAACATATATATTAATATAGATATCAAAATGCAAAAAATATGAAGCATATATATTAGTAGTAATTTCTAAATTACAACTGAACTTTATCATTACAGCTTTAACATAAGTGAAAGTTCACCGATTCCCAGTATATCAACATAAAGTTTACATCACAAACTAATATATGTTGACTGTAGTCTGTTCATATATACGTAACTACTAACTATCAAAATGTAAGGCTTTCTCACATTAGAATCAAACATGCCGTGAATTGAACGAGCTATTACATGTAGTTATTATTTATATCCTTATTCATTAATTTCACTGATAAGAAAAAAGAAGATAGAAGTTTCAGAAAATAAAATCCAAGCAATCCTTGAAAACATCATAGAAACAAGGCACCCACTTGTATAACAGACAGCTGTGATTAGGCAATAACACAGATTAAGTAGCTAGAAGGTCCTTTTTATCAAGAAGCTAGTAGACAAATAGCTTGTGAAAATCCAAGTCTTCTTTGGTGACTCATTTATACATGAACATATCTAGCTTTCCAAAGGTCGAGAAGACACGAACATATCTAGATTTCCAAATTAGGAGAAAGAAAAAGTAGTACTCTGTTAATCCCTTATACCAATTCTCAGTTTTGAAGGCACTTAAAACATTTAACAGTCAGATTTCCATAACCCCTCTTCTACTTATAGTAGCAACTACATATGTTTAGCAATTATTTGGTGATTAATATATATATATATAATCAAATCAATACTTCAACTATGGACACTATATCAAATTAAAAATAATACTCTATAGAATAGTAACTTGTAATAAATTTACCTGAGTGATTAGAGAGTTGGAAAAACTAGGTGGCAGTTGACCCCCAAAATGTTGAACAAGAAACACATTTATTGGAGCTGATAATAACAAGAAAAACAGAATGATTAGAATATAAAAATCAAGAACAGTAGGAAGCTGATAACAATACCTACACATTTCACTTGAGCATCAAAATGGAGCCGATAATGGTTTTCTTACTTATCCCTACTTCCAAGCATCTTACGCATAGTGACTTTAATTTTTCTTCATTGCAAATGTAACTACAGTTGTTTGTAAATTATTACTGCATATAAATCACATAACCTGAGTATAAATCCAGAAACATTAAAGTGAAACAAAAATTGTGAGGGGCTCTTGGACTTGTTATATTTTGTTCACCTTCACTTCCTAGGAGACTAAATTGGAAGCAACTATTTCAATGACTGTAACTAATGATGCAAAATACAATAAATTTAGCGGAAAGAGGACTTAAAATATTAATAATAATTAGCCACTTCCAAATCAATCTTTTGCATTTATACCCTATTTTATGCATTAGGCAGTTAAAAATAGAAAAATGGAAGAATAAAAATAGCATTTTTCAAGAAAACAGAGATACAATCCGAAAAGATGCATCTGAAAGCACTTGATGATTAAGAGATAATCCAATGGTGGTGGTGAGCTTGTAGAGAAAAAGTGTGATAATAACTGCTGCTAAACCTCCTCCCAATAGTGCCGAAGGATCTCAAAGATGAGATTTTCTCAAAATATTATCTTTTCCTTCTAAAGATAATCCTGATATGAATTGGTGATTGGTGTTAACTTTCAATTGTAATCTATAGCTAGACTACTAAGCTTATAGAGAAAGCTGTCAAAGGAAGACCAATGGCAATTCAACTCTGGCTTTTAGGATACCTGATTCCACGTTTACTAGATAAGTTACCGAAGATATAACTATTATAGTTCTAACTTTTCTAATATGGCTGACTAGTACCTAGTAAAGCAAAGCACTTGTCCTATTCACATAAGAGCATAACAGAGAAATTCTTAAAATTAGCATCAACGCTCGAGTCATGTTTACTCTATTCCTCGTTTTCTCCAAAAGCAAGATGGTTATCATAAAATTACTTACTTACTGATGGTTAACAAAACCCAGGTAAGTTTGTGAATAGGAGCCAATTGAAAAAATGAGATGCACAAGATGAACAAAGAATCACAAAGAAGAAAAGGAAAACCATAAAGGAAAAAAAGGGGCAATAAAAAAGAAGATTTAAAGGCAATCAATTCTCAGCAAAATTTTTACCAAATAAAAATCTTCTAGCAGTTAAATTTGCCACTTGATTTAAAAAAGGGCATTATGCAGAAGTTATTAGAAATTCACACGGCAAGAGCTTAATTACATATTTATTTTCATATATATCATCACAAAACTCAGTTGCATAAACACCACTACCTTTCTAGCTTTGAAAAAATATTACTGCCAAAATCCATGTTTCAGAAGAAATTACATCCGGCGAAGCTACACAAAGCAGAGTTGTGTTTCACAATGATGTTTTCTCCTATCTCATAGCAGCATAAGACGTCAGTAAAACACTTAAAATATGCTATTTAAGAATAAGACATTTCACTTATAGACAATGCACTTGGTACCAAATGCTACTTAGTTTTCCGCAGAAGCACAAAATGGTATAAATAACACAAGAATTTACTGAAGCAAAAGAAAAACAATATAATCATGAGAATTAAAAGCAAATATTCAACTGCAAAAATGAAAATACCTTCTGCAAACGTTAAGTTGCTCTTAAAGAAGTGGTTGTCCATTAAGATACAAGATATAAAAACCATATATGCAAACGTTGACCTTGATTTCACTCACGACAACATGAACATATATCCATAAGTATCTAGGAAATATACCCATGTCAATGGGATAACAAAATATTGAAAATCTGAAATAACAGTAGCTAGGAACAATAATATTGTAGCATCAAGTTGCTAGCCTCTTTTCTCTTCCTTGTTCTCTTCTTCTTCTTCTTCTTTTTTTTTCCTTCTCTGTGTTTTTTTTTCTTCTTCTTTTCCGTAGCTTCTTTCCCTTCCCCAATCCCTTTTTGCTTTGTAAAAATTGCACGGGGCGCCCTATTTGGTCGCCCCCATTTAACCCATACCCATTTTTTTAAAAACTTTTAACTTGTACCCACTTTTTAAATAACTTCAACCCCCTTTCTCCTCCTCCTTGCTTTGCAACTCTCTCGAATCATACACAGGAGAATCTGAGCTAAGAACCTTAGGACGTTCTTCCCATGCAGTGATACTATATAAATGAACACTTTCTTCCTGGTCTCTCAATACCATTCTCCTTTTACTAGTTTTGTTTTTTGTTTAACTGGACTCTAACACCCACAGAAAACAACAAGGATCTGCACAATCTCCTGAATACTTCAGAACATAGAATCTGGCACTTTAAATTTTTTAACCTCTTTTTTCTCCTCTATTTAGCTTCATCTGACCATGAATAACCACAATGTCCAAGTTTGTTCTTACTGCTATAAAGTTGTAGTATTAATATGCCTTGTCATTGTAGTCTTAAAGAAAATAGAGTGGCTCGATCTCCTGTCATTGTATTCAAAGATACTATGATAATTTCTGTGTGCAAAAAAAAGATCTCAAAATTAGTTACTCATATGTCTTTTACAAGACAAAGCACGTGAAGAACCCTACTTGTTTCAAGTTTGCTGGATATTTCTGGAATCCGAGATCATCTGTATTTTCAAGTGAATGTACTTGCAGCATCAAAGTTGATCAACCGCGAAACACCAAAAACAGTAGTGATTCCCTCAGAGAGCTGAAGTTTGTCAGTTACAGCTGAAGTTCGCCCGTTACAAAAATAAAAACTTCAGCTCTAGAGCTGAAGTTCGCCAGTTACAAAACAAAAACTTCAGCTCTAGAGATGAAGTTCGTCAGTTACAAAAATAAAAACTCGCTAGTTACAAACAAAAACTTCAGCTCTAGAGCTGAAGTTCGACAGTTACAAAACAAAAATTTCAGCTCTAGAGCTGAAGCTTACAAACAAAAACTTCAGCTCTAGAGCTGAAGTTAGCCAGTTACAAACAAATTCAGCTCTAGAGCTGAAGTTCGCCAGTTACAAACAAAAACTTCAGCTCTAGAGCTGAACTTCAGGCCCGGCTACTAGAATGCTGAAGTTCTGCGTGATTGCCTTTGCTACTTCAGCCCCGTATGCTGAAGTTATGCGAAAAAGCGGGTACGCTTGTAATTTTTTTAGCAAAGCAGGCACAAGTTAAAACGTGACACAAAAAGCGGGAATAGATGCAAATGCCCCTTTTGCTTTTGCCTTTGGCAGAATGTATCCTATGTGCTTCAGCCCTTTTGTGTCCATTCTTTCTTCTTCTTTTTTTATTTATTTATTTTTGTTTTGTTTAGTTAGTCATTTTTTTTTAAACTTAAATTATTTATTAAATACCCCATATGTCCTCATTTAAAATATTGGGGGTATTACATCCTCCCCACCTTATGAAATTTGGTCCCCGAATTTAACTCAAGTACGTACCTGTAGACTGAAACAATGGGGTACTTGACTCGCATAGCATCTTCTATTTCCCAAGTAGCTTCTTCAACTGCATGATTTTGCAATAAGACTTTTACGAACTTNCAAAACAAAAGAGAAATTTTGATCTGTGAAAGAAGAGAGAATCTTCAGTTTCTCGCTCCAAAGTTTCGCAAACCTTTCTTCATCTAGCTTTTGTGTGGTGACAATGTCACGATGGGGGGAATTCTGAGAACCCCGAAACTTTGATCGAAAAAGAGAGGGAGTTAGGGTTTGGTTAGATCTGTAGAGTTTAGTAGAATGAGAGGGAAAGGGGGTTGGGAAAAAGAAATGAGAGGGAAAGGGGAAATAAAGGCCCGCCAACTAAAATTAGGCAAATGATTTTATTGCAGGGGTTTATTTTAAGAAACCTCCAAAAATTGCACTAGAATAGCCAGGATATCTGAAACGCCAAAAGCCCAAAACTGAAGCAATTTGGTAAAAATAGCATGGTATAGCCAGTTTTCGGACTGGTCAATCAAAAATAGCCAGCGTTTACCAAGTCAATGAAAAATAGCCACTATTTTGCTGCAATAGAGACCGGTCCAGCATAATATACTGGAATTCGGTGCACTTCTATATGAACTCCAGCATATTATGTTGGACCGGTATACTTTGCTGGATCCAGTATAATATAGTGGAGACTGGAGCACCATTGCTCCAAACTCCAGTATATTATACTGGACCAATATACTTGCTGGAACTCCAGTATATTATGCTGGAGTTCTAGTGTACTTATGCTGGAACTCCATCATATTATGCTGGAGTTCCAGCGTACTTATTCTGGACTCCAGTATAATATGCTGGAGTTCAAGTATACTTATGCTGAAACTCCAGCATAATATGCTGGAGTATTTTCCGGGTTTTGAACAGTATTTTCGCTCAAAATCTTTATATAAAAAGCGGCTAAATTTCGATTACATTTGAAATTGGGCTATTTTTGAACGACCAGTTATAAATCTGGCTATTTTTTAAATTTACCCGCAATTTGCGGAGGTCACTATTAACCTCTGCAATAAAACCACCCAAAATTAACCCTTTTTTGTAGTGATTAAATAATATATGTGATCAACAATTTTATTTTTGTAGCTAAATAGTATTCCGTCAATGGTGTTTAATATTTTTTTAGTGGAAAATCTTATTAGAAAAAGTTTGTTATAAAAATTTGAATATCATCCCTAAATTAGAACATCCAAATATGAAATCTAATATTTATCACAAAAAATGAGTGGTTTGTGACGAATTTTTAATTGTAGCTAGACACTATATTTTTTTGAGACAAAACCTCACCGTGGCTAAATTAAGTATTATATAGGGACAATAGAATGATCGTCACAAATTATCTACCTTATTAGTGACAAAAACTATGGTCACAAATAAGTACAATATTTTTGTAGCTAAAGTTCGCATTATTTAGCTACAAATTTTTAATTGTTGCTTTTTTAACAATTTTTTTGTGACGAAACTTTTTCGTATGTAAAGTTAAGCATTTATTAAGATAAAAGATATTTCGTCACAAATGGTATACAATGTCAATGAAAAAAAAGTTTTGTCACTAATAATATTATCTTTGTAGCTAAATATTTCTTAGTAAATGGCGCCAATTCATTTTTTGGTGGGAAACGTTAGTGGACAAAAGTTTGCTACAAAATTTTGTATTTCGTTACTAAAAGTAAGTGACTCGTGTATTTAGGCACAATAGGTAATTTTTGTCACGAAAAGTTAATAATCAGTGACAAATTTTGTGTCATATCTAAAACTTTTGTAGCTAAATATCACATTTGTTATAGTGAGGAAAGCCAAATTGATCATTAAAATTCTGGAAATTCAGTTTGATTAGACTTCTCTTTGACCCCTGAAAAAGCTGCCGTTACTTATTAAATGTCTAATTCTCTTTAAATACACACCATCTCTCCAGTCTTCATCATAATTCCTAAACCGTCAAAAACTCTTCTTCACTTCTAATTGCCATCTTCTCCAAAAAATTCCCAAATTCTTTCAAGAAATCGACCATCATGTCTAACCCACAAGAAAATCCTGGAACTCCTCCACCACCATCTCCCTCAAATTCATCCTCATCTACTCCCTCCAGTGTATCTCCAAAGCCTAGGCTACGAAGGCAGAAAATGCTCGCTCGAAAAACTGTAGCATCTGGGGCTCTGAGGAAGGCTTTAAATGAAAGGTTGAAAGCAAGCGAAGTGAATGAAAGCCCAGCTCAAAATTCCGACTCCAGCTCTAAGTCTGAATCCTTTCAATCTGCGACTGAGGGTGAATGACATGGGTCTTCTAACTCTGAGAAGACTCAACAATCCCCTATTGAGGTAAGTTCATCTGGGATTGAAAACATAGAGACTAGGTTTGTTCTGGTTGGTCCCGTTAGGGATGTTGAAGTGCCTGAGATTCGTAGGAGTGGAGGTAAAAAGAATTTTGAAAAAGAAAAGGAGAGAGAGGGTGCATGTGGTGATGAGAGGGGAATTGGGAAGGGAGCAGTTCTTGCTATATGTGGGGTTGCACAAGAGAGATTAGAAGAGAGTGGCATGAAGTCTGGGGGAAGCGGTTCTGGGGAAGCTGCTGAGGGGTTGGTTCATCTGAGAAAGCAAAGAGATGAAACTGTTTCATCTACTGAAGAAACCTTGGATGATCTAATGAAAAAGGTTGGGGCAAGCTATGACCCAAAGAAACGCAGAGCTCCCACAACAAAAGCCCCAACTGTTCCCAAGCCTTCCAAGAAAAGAAAAGCTTCATCCCCAACACCTACTGCCTCTTCAGTGCCTAGGGGAAGAGCCACAAGAAGCAGGGTAAAATAGAGTGAAGTTGATCTACAAAAAGCCTTAGAAGAAAGTAAGAAAAAGAAAATAGATAAGGGAAAGGGAAAGATTGTAGAGTCCTCAGAGGTTGTTGAGGAAGAGGAGATGGAACTGGTCCATCAAGAAAGGGGTACAACAGAAGAGGTTCCTACATCCAAGCCTAAAAAGCCCAAGACTTTCTCCAAGAAGTCTTCTTCTACACCTGTGTCTGCTGAACCCACACTAGCCAAGAGGACAAGATCTGCAGTGAAAGCTAAACAAACAAAAGTTTCATATGATGATGATTGGAGTGGAGAAGAAGAAGAGAATGAATCTGAGAAGGAGCAGGACAGGTTTGCCATGTTTGGCAGAAGGAAAATTTTAAAAGGTAGATTGTTGAAGGACCTGGTGGAACCGGGGATGATGAGATTGGTAGATTCTTTAGCTTCTCAAGGATGGAAGGACATGGTCCTTCAGATGGATGGTAAGCT